GCAGTATTTATTTTGGAAGGTGATAACTTTGCAGCCCCTCCAACACCCCACCAATCCAAATTTACTTATTGAGGCTTTGAACAAGACAAGAAGAAGGCAGCAAACAGCTCCTGCTGAAATCTGAATAACTGCTCAGCTCTAAAGTGATTGTGGATCCGATCTAAAAGCACCATAGGTGGTGTAAAGGAGGATGAAGGGGGTGAATGTATCGAGCAAGCAGCAGCAGCTCTGCTCTGAGACCAAGCTGCTGTGCTTACCAATTGCTTTTTTCTTATGGTCAGGGAATATTTTCATGCAGAAGACTTGTGAGGGTGGGCAGAGCAAAAGGCAGCAGGCAAAGCAGAACTTGGAAGCTCCTTCAGAGGAGGGAGAGGTGCAGGAGGGGTCGGGATGCACCCAGGTCTGCTCCAGCTGTGAACAGAAGCTGCGGCAGCAGAGACGAGGAACAACATGATTAATCTAATTACTAATTACTAATCTAATTAATCTGATGGAGCCAACTGGACTGAACAATGCCAAAGGTGAGGAGGAAGGTTTGCTAACAATGTTTACCTCCAGCCTTGACGTGATGGAATTACTGAACCTCTGCCCCATGTGTCTATGGAGGCTCCATGAACTCGCTCTGAAGAAGCACCTGGTGCAGGATGAATGGATGCTTTGCTCTGAGACCCTCAGCTGCCCATCCTGGGGGCCTCAGGGACCAGGTCCATGCATTCACAGCTCACCCTGGCCTCAGAGGAACACCAGACGCCCCCCCAGGTGGTAAGGAAGGCTCCCAGCAGCAGGCTCAGCCTACACCCCTGACACAGCTCCATATGCCCTACAGACAACGCTGCAGCATCCCAGCCCTCACCGGATGGACATCTGATCACTCAAGTGTTCTGGGGGGCTGCACATTATCAGGGCCTACAGAATTAATTTTCACTTCTTTCCTGAGATGTGAGGGACAGATATTGCCCAGCAGACATTGGATTTCCAAATGAAAGTGAATTCTGTTTGCCCCAGCTAAGTGAACAAGGACACCTCTGAGCCAGACCTGGCATCCCAGCAGCTCACACCACAGCAGTGGCAGAATTAATTCCCGAAACCTTAATAATATCCAGCAAAAGTTGATGAATGCTATCTAGAAAAAAACAACTCTGAATGCACTGTATTCATACATGTAGATTGATGGGGGTGGGGGAAAGCAGAAGATATATTTTAAGTTTGCAAACAATGGCATAAAATCAACGAGAGGCCATTGCCAGAACTCAGAAGATGCGTGCATCCTTTGTTGCACTCCATCTCAGTGCAGATGCAGCTCAAACACTCTGTAACAAAGTGTGCTTCAGTGCAGTAGGCATTTCCTCCTGCTGCTTCACTCCTGCTTGCATTGCTCCTGGAAGGTGAGACAAAGCTTTGCAAAACAAGCAGTCATCATGGCCACAAAGCACGCAGAAAGCTGAATTCACTGCATGAGAAATTAAGATGTGTGTATACTAAGTGTACATTAACACACCAGAACTGTCTCTCTGAATATTAGCTCTCAAGATTTAACAACGTGTTAATGCTAAATTAATGTTTTTATGAACAAAAAGGAACCTTTCACCAATTAGTGAATAGCTTGCTATGCTAAGAACATTCAGACTTCAAGGAGGAGCAGACATCGAGGCCCTCCCTCAAAAAAGAAAGAAGGGAGAGATCTATAAAGCTCACTATTACAGGATGAAAGAACTGAAAGCTAAAAGGAAAACAAACAACACAAACAGGGTTGGTCCTTCATGCATTGACCCCCTAGTGCAACATCACTGAGTACAGAAATCTGCTCCACACTCACTCCCAACAGCTGCAAGGATGAAACCTGCACTCCTCAAATCATTCCAAGTTCAACCTATGCTCTGATTTTCAATTGCCCTGAAATCCAAGAGAAGGTTTAGAGAGACGGCGTGCCAGGAGGGTGGGCAGAGCAGCACTGCTGTGATGCTGCAGGAGGAGCTGAGCTGCCACACACTGCACTGAGTGCTGCACAGGGAGATGCTCCAGGCCCTGCATCATCTTTGTGCCCTCTGCTGGTCTCTCTCCAGGAGATCCCTGTCTGTTTTGTACTGGGGAGCCCAGAACTGGATGCAGTACTCCAGGTGAGGCCTGACCAGGGCAGAGCAGAGGGGAAGATCCATTGCCCTGCTGGTCACACTCCCTTTCATGCACCCCAAGATCCCATTGGCCTTCTTGGCCACCAGGGCACACTGCTGGCTCATGGCCAACCCGTCACCCACCAGGACCCCCAGGTCCTCCTCCGCAGAGCTCCTCTCCAGCAGCTCGTGTCCAACTGCACTGATATGTGCCCTCTGAGCTCAGACAGCTCTCAGCCCACCTCTCTGTCCTCTCATCTACCCCACCTACTTCCTTACCAGGATTCTGTGGGATATGGTACCAAAAGCCTTGCTGAAGTCAAGGCAGACAACATCCAGCCAACACTGCGT